AAGTAAGGTATAGCAATACGCATTTTGGGGAAGGGGCGGCCAATCAGAAATCCCGGGTTTTGAAGGCGGGAATTTAAAATTGTTAACATGTCTAGTCGGTGAAAAGAAATAAATTTCTTAAAAGATGAAATGTAAAATTATTAAATATTATAATTTATTAAATAAAGGTTTCGACAAGTATAAAATTATTAAGTTTAGTCAAATTCTGAAAAAAACCATTGGAGGAAAATTGGAATATTCCATTAATAGAAGATAACGATAGAAATAAATAAGTATGTTCAGTAGAAATATGGATCGAATGTTGGGATCATATTTCATTTTGATCAATCATTGAAATTTGGTCAAATCATAATCAAATAGTAATGAAAGTCTTTACGCAAATGCAATTTAGTATCGAACAATGAATTTTATAACCTCTTTATTCGGTAACAGTTGTACTGTATTTATGCAATTAAGTTCCTGAAAATTTTTTCTTCCACAGATTGATTGCATTTAGTCGAGTAGAAAATAGTTGTAAGTGATTTGTAGTGTCGTTAAAGAACTTTTAATAAAATAGATCTTCATTCAAATAAAAATATAAAATCATTAATGTAAGTCGATCATTAATGTAAATTAATTTCTTTCAAGAATACGAAACCACTTATCTTGCGACACTATTTTCGTACTTGCTCAAAATTAGGTTATCTTTCACGTCGGGATTTGTTTATATTTTTGCCTTCCTCACTTTGACGTATAAGTCGCAAAACCCGGAACATCCTATTGGTCGTCTACTGCGCCGCCACCAACTGTTATACCTTACTTATTATACCATGAGTATTCAATTGACCCTCGACATAAGAACGTAAGGGCTACGTAGAATAAAAGGAACAGGTAACAGAGAATAAGAATTTCAACCTATCAGAAATCATATATTGTGGAATAAACAGTGTTTATTCCATAGTACATGATTTCTGATAGGTTGAAATTCTTATTCTGTTCCTTTTATTCTGCGCAGCCCTAAGAATTAATAAATGTGAACGATTCTATAGAAGGCGACTCAAATAATATAAAAAGCATTTATGATTTTCGTAAATTTAATAAAGCTTTGTTAAGGAGGGAAGAATCTGTTACAGATAATCCGTGCGGTTATTATACTCAGAATCGCGAGTTCTCAAAAACCGGCCTCGCTGGTATGCGCCATGCCACACTACACCTCGCCATACCACGCGGTTGATTTACGTTTCCCGCTTTCCAGTCATGGTCGCTCCAGGCAGACGGCCATCTTGCGCGTACAGAGACTGCGCACTAGCGTGCCATCGTAATTTACGACTCTCTTGCGCACATGAACTTCTCTCGTTTGCTCTCGTTTCAGCGGCAGGTTTCGTGTAAGATACAAGCTCGTCGCGATCCGTGAATACTGAATATCCACGGGCCTCTCCTCGACGTGTCGATCGACGACGACGAGAAACGTGATCGAGAACGTTGCGTGCGCAAAAGGAACAGGACGACCGCCACGGAAGGAGAGAGGAGAGAGGTAGTGGGCGGAGTTTACGTCTGTGTGTTGTGTGAAGTTGGCGACGGAGACGCGCGTGCGGCGCGATTTGTCTCGGAGTGAAGAACGACCGGCGTTTCTCGAGTATTTTCCGGAGATCGTTGTTCCCCGAAGGAGGAATGCGTTGATCGCACGTCAGCGTGGATACGGGTTATGAGATCGCGAGGACAGGCTTCGTGAGATCGGACAGCCGTAAATAAGGTGGATGCGCACGCGGGGACAACGACGGATCGTCAGGAGCGAGGAAGGAAGAGGGATCGTGACGCGGCGGCCGGTGAGGGAGGCAAATGCATGGGACGTTCTGATTGGCCGCGGCGGCTGCTATGGCCGCCGATTGGCGTACCGCACGCATATACCCGAGGGCACAGCACGGACGCGCACCTACACCCGCGAGCCGCGTAGCAGTCGCTCGAGCGACCGAGGACAGTGAGAAGAGCGACGGAAACGGTCGGTTCGCGCGCGTCGTCCTCGCCGTCGTCGCCGCCGTCGCAGTCGCTATTTCCTTCTGAGGTGGAAAGCTTCGTGTGCGACGTTCGTGGCGCGGATGGCTCGGAGAACAACGCCGATCTTCAGCCATAGCGAGCCGTAGAACTTGACCGAACATCATCACGAGAGGGAGAGAGAAAGATTATATATATATATATATATACACACATATATATATAGATATATACATAGTGTGCTGACTCGAGGGGAGGAGTGCGGTCCGGGCGCGACGCCGACCGTCTCGACATAACCGCGTATACGTAAAATTCGACAATCCGTCAATGTTAGAGCCGCCGGAGGAGATCCTATTCTCTACTTGCCCTGTATATTGTGTATACCAGATATTAAAATTCGATAATTAGAAGTTGATTGCCGGAGCGAAGAACGAGGATAGAGAAGTGTATCGCCGAGCGGGAAGCTGCTGCGTGGGAGCGAGCGAGAGCGACGGAGGGAGAAAGAGGCAGGAACGGGACGAAACGGAGCGGAGTTAAAAGCGCCGTACGACACGCAGAAGGACAAAGACCGCGGCGTTGGCATAACCTCCAAGTCGTTCGCGCCGCGCGTTTCGTTGCAACGGAATTAGAGAAAGATAGAGAATATATTTTTGCAAGTGTGCAACGTGCGCCTTCAACGACGATTCTGAAGGGAGAGAGAGAGAGAGAGAGAGAGCGCGCACGTGCATCATCCGGCCAGCGGCAACGTCCGACAAGCTAGAAGGTGGTCGGTGGAGATCGCGGAGGCTGGATCAGTTTAAGTTTGTTTCGCGTTCTTCCGCGACACCTGGTATACGAGGATAACGCGTAGATAGGTCCGTTACGTGCGTGTGGTGCGACACGAGTGCGCTCCGTCTAGGCGCCACGACGCGACGTAGCGAGAGTATAAATAAAAAAATTAAATAAATAAGTGAAGAGGGGCGGCCACGTCCGAAGCAAGCACGCGAGAACCGGGAGTGAAGTAGCCCGCGAGTATCCCCGGTTGATGGATGAGACTGGCAGGATGCTGCAACACGGAGGATCAGGTGTGGGTCTGATGGGTGGAAACCAGGGCCAGGCGGCCCAGAATACCGCCGGCTACGGCAGCATGGGTCCGGTCGACGGCACCGCGGCTCAGGGCCCCGACCAAGCGGTCGAGGCCAGGAAACAGGACATCGGCGAGATCCTGCAGCAGATCATGAACATCACGGACCAGAGTCTGGACGAGGCGCAAGCGAGGTATCCTTTCTCCGCCATTTTTTCATGTGCTTGCGCGCGTCCTTTCATCTCTTCTGAATACCACCACATACCTCCGAATACCGTTTTTAAATGCCTCTTCGTTTTTCTTTATTTATTTCCGGCACATACAGAAACCGCCGGCGCCGTTTCCCAAAACTTTCTAAAAGTTTCTTTCCAAGTGTTTCTCCCTTTCTTGAGGGAGTCAAGTTTCACTTCTGAAAATTTCGATATGTAGACATTTTTTACTATATATATATATATATATATATTTTACGTGTGTCGCTTGTTTTATAGTTAAAAATAAGTATTCGTAATTGCCACGACTACTTTGGCGCTAAAGTGTCCGTAAGGTCTATCAGCGTTACGTCGGAGCAGAAAATTATGTTTACGGCTCGTTAATAGCGGAATTAAAGGTTTAATGGTACTTTCGATTTACGAGGTCGATTCGTTACCCGGGCGGGAGGAGGAGGAGTACCGCGTGTAAACGAAATTCTCATAAAAGCAAGACGATGCCCGCCGCCGCGCGTATAAAATACGGTGCACGCGGTTTTATTTCGGGTTATACGGCGGGGTTCACGGAAACGCATTAAATCGTATATAGATTACAAAGTGTATACCTACACTGCTCGTTCTCGCAACGTCACGCAAGAAGTACATCTTGTCCGTTCCGTCTTCTTTTATCTCGTCTATCAATTTAAAAAGAACACGCGGGGAGCATTTTGCACAATCTTTGCAGTTAATTATACGGTATTATAAAACAAGGCGCAATGTGCTTATTATTAATAACGACGAGTGATAATAGTGCTTCTATTGCGCGGGACTCGGTGTATACTTAGCTAATTATGCACGCGTTATTCATTAGCGCATTAATCAGCCTGATTTATCTTACATATCCCGGTATAAACATCCTTTCTACCTTTTTATGATAATTTGACGGACCTGTGAGGTATTTGTCTAGATAAGATCTATCGATCCGCCAAGAGATCGATGTTTCCTTTTTTTGCAATTTAGCGAGTAAACAAACGAGGAGGACACGATAAAATAGAAACAAAATAACACTCCTTGCATTTAAACTGTGTGTGTGCATGCGACTATAAGTGTGGCTGCTGCTGCTGCTGCCCTGGTTTCACCTGGTGTCGCGTCGGCTTTGCTCATGTATGTTAAGTTATATTAAGTACCTGTCCGCGTGTTGGATGCCCGCTACAAAGAGCGCCAGATGTGCCTCCCACGAATACGTGCATTTTACGCGGGGCGCAGACACTTGTAATTTTCGCGTCGGGCGTTAAACGTTAACCATTTAAATATCGCGCTCCTCGATTAAGCATACGGCTTTAAATTAAGTGAATTGCCTTTATGAGCCGCTCATTTCGGTGGCGATAGTTATTATTTCATGTAATTTGTATGCAGAGTGACGCGATATCTAGATTTGTCTTCCTTCGTCATACGATTTTTTTTTCTCCCAACTCGGAAACAACTTCTGATACTTTCCAGCAAGAATCACAGTGTGATACAATGATAACTTTATTTATTTTTGTTTAACAGTGGCACACAAGAATTTTATGACTTACTATGTCATCTGCATCTGAGGAAAAAGTACCTCGATACAAAAAAATCAGTTATATCCGGACAAGCATCAAATAAATATTTTCCTTGTATTAAATAAAATATTTTGATACAAACAAAATTTATTCGACACAAGAAAATTATTTATTCGATGGGATCTAATAGCTTATATTCTGTATCAAGATATTTTTTTTCTCTCAGTGTGTATTTTTTTTACTGGAAAGAACTTTCTTTTTCCTCGAGGCCCGAATTTGTCGAAAAAGTCACATCGATCCATCTTTTGTGCGACATTGAGTCTGCTTTTTCTTTACCACTATACTGTGTGTGTGTGTGTGTGGACTGTAAAAATTTTCTATCCCGCTTTCGCGCCAAACTTTAAATATGTATCTATTTCCTTTTAAGTAAAAGTGTACACTCTAGTAGCTACACAAAGAACAGACTTCTTTTTGGATATTGAGCTAACAGCTAACCTGTTCGCGATTTGCTTACAGAAAACACACCCTCAACTGCCACAGGATGAAACCCGCCTTGTTTTCGGTGCTCTGCGAGATCAAGGAAAAGACAGGTGAGTGATCTTTTCTCTGCAACAACACGGTCATTTGCTCTTTTTTGCCGCGCTCGATTCACGCTGCTCGGATCATTAAACTTTACGTACAAGCGACTCGCCTATTTTGTACCGCGTGCTAACGGATGAATGGAATTTTTAAATAAATTACTTTCGGATGTGACAAACTCTCGTTTACGACTCATCTTGCCACAGAGATCGTGGATTTCAATGCATTTTTTTCCCTTTCTCGTATTAGGTTGGCAGTGCCGCGTATTTTTATATACGTATGTATTTCATACGATGCAGAGAACGAATATCACGAGGATACATTATTATTTTCGCAGCGTCATTGATTATATCTATGTGCGAGCGAAGTTTTATTCCATTCGTCCGTGCGCGCGAGTTATTGTACGTCGTAAATCACAGGTCTTATTTAAAGCACTGACTTTCGGCGCCTGGTTGTGTTTGGAATTGATTTTTAAATTGCGTTTTTAACTCTCGGAATTGAACGAAATCGGTACAGTTCCGAGACGAGCTCGGTTTTCAATGTTTACGTACGTGCAGAGAAGATTCCTATTATATTATACATATATATACACATTCTTTTAATATATAATTATAATAAGACTCAATACATTTAAAAAATAATAAAAAGAAACAGAGTTACGAGCCTAAGATTCGTTGAATTATAAAATTGTTGGTAAATAAATTATGTCATTGCGTTAAAAATATAAAATTCAATAAAAACATAAAAATATATTAAGTTAATAAAAACATACGTTTCGACCTTTGTTAGGTCATTATCAATGTTTTAAAGGTCGCAAGAATTGGTAACAATGTACGAAGATATAAAATTATAAAACATAAAATATGTATAAATATAAAAAAATTAAATTGGATATGTAATCTCACTCGTATAATTGAGAAACATTTCGGAACGTCAGCAAGAGTCCACAAAACAACGCAAATCGTTCACTTATGTGGTTTGTGAAATAATTGTTTCTGTCGAAAACACATCAGAAATGTAATAAAAGTCAAATAGTAAAAGAAATTCAAATCGTAATATAATACAATATTAGTAATAAATAATAAAATAATGTATATAGTGTAAAGAGAGTCAATTTTCAAGGCAATAAATTAAAACAAATATAATGTAAAAATACAAATTATTATACATCACATTAATTATGTTAATTTAGTGTCAATTAAATTCAATGATAATAAATTACCTTGTAAAATTGTATCCAAGTACAATTATAATTTATTTGTTGTTAGAATAATGCGATGAGAGCCAATTTAAGTAATTTAAACATTCTTTTAATATAAAAGAAATAATGACAGTTTCAGTAGCATATTTTTCATAATTCTATATACAGTTCCCAATAAAAATAAAGAAAACCCCGCATTTTTTAATAATAAATAACCAAAATTAGCATATGTATTTTTTTTTCATTTTCTACGATCGACTGCTGCCAACCAAAGGTTGGCACAAAAAGGAGGGAGTATGCGTTTCACCGAAGCAAATCGGTTGTTGATATAAAAGTGCGGGGCTTTCTTTATTTTTATTAGGAACTGTACAATTATGAAGAGTACTACTGAAATTGTCATTATATTTTATTACAAGAATGTTATTGTGCTTCACAGATCCTATACGATCTTTGGGTTCTCTTCCTATATGATCGTTGCAACAGAAGCATGATAATGGGTGATAAGATTGTATTTCAAGGTGTATCAACATTGAAAATCAAGCTTACCAACTCGGAATTTAATCTCTGAACGCGAAAACGATCGTAATTTCTTCATGAATAACGTTCGAGTCGTTGTGTCGCGGCTCGTAAGCGCGCAGTAGACCGAAATCGAAAAATTGCGAGAGATCCCTATCTGCGACAGCGCAAACCCCCGCGTTGACGTTCCCTTCGACCACCCTTCGGTCGCGCGACCCCTGCGAGAACCATTCGAAACTCGTAAACATAATTTTTATGCGATGTTTGGATTACTTTTACGCGTGGATCAAGAGACCGCGAAACGCGCAATTATTTCTAGGGGACACGATCGAGGAAGACTAAGAGAAAAAAAAGAGGGAAAAATCTCGTGGAAGGGGCGAGAAAGAGATGGAAGTTACGTCAAAAGTGTTCGCTGTCCGTGGAAGGACCACCACGCCCCTCATGCTAAGCTACCCTCTTTCCCACCGCTTCTCCAGCGATGTGTGTGTGTACACGCATTTATACAAGTACATGATACACAACATACATGCACACAAGTAGGAGACACGAGGGTGTCGTCGTTGGCGTAGCACTGGCTGTGTGACGTCGCAACGACATCCCACGTTTCTGTAACGTTATGATATTTCCAAATGGGCGTTGGGTACACCGAAAGGATATCTTTTTCGCGATCAAGGGAGAACGCGAGATCGCTATTGTTTTTTTTTTTTTTTTTTTTTTTTTTTTTTTGAGAAATTTCAATGAGAGCGCAATCGTGCATTTTGCTAACGCATCTTCGAAAGCCTGCGTGCATTTTTACAGCCCTATGCTTTTTCATTGCTTTATTGCCTTTCTCGTTATATTCTCGTTTGCCGTCATTCGGTTATACTGGGATTTTAAATTGTGCTTTACCTCCAACTCACGGAGATATTAACCTTTCTACTTCAATTTTGTACAGTTAAATCTTAGTAAAAAATCTACGAGATTCACGATATTCTGTTAGGAAATTGTAGTATCTTTGTGTATAGATATTATACACAGAAAACTTTTCAAACTTTATTAATGTAATTCAAGATGTTTTATATCCAAGATGTTTTCTGAATTCTCTTTGTAATTTTTATGACTTTTTCATTGATATATTCTTTGAATATTTTATACATGAAAATACTTTATACTAAATATAATATGCTCGATATAATGGATGCTTTTCAACAAACACCACGACACAATGTAACACGATGAATCATTACATCCTTGTTGTTTGCCAACGTTAAACAGAGATGATACGATCACTGCCTTATACTATGTTTCTTGTTGGAATATATTTTGGAAAAAAATGAGTTGTGTTGAGACATTTAGAGAATATATATTTTATTGTACACACTATAAAAAGTATAGATGTAGATTTAATACCATGCCGGCGTTTATATAATTCTCACTGTGTCGCGGCGTTGATACAAACGTGTGTTGTGGATTTTATCAGCATGTGAATTTACGTATAAATTTACACCAACACGATGAGAATTATATTTAATACCCATAATGTCAAATTTACATCCATATTTTTTAGAGGGTATACATACTTTTATTCTCTTCCGCGCGTATAAAATACTTTAATTCTAGATTTTATTCGAGTTAAAATAATAATAAATAAATAAATAAAATATAAATAATCAAAATATGGACTGAATCGAAGTGCACTTCGATGCGAAAAAAGGGACGAGAGGAGAGCAAAGAATAACAGAGAAAGTTTTAGTTGGAGTTTATCATAAACAAAAAGGGCGTCAAAGTATGATGAGCACTCGAGACGATGAACCGTTTTAACGGTCCTGTATCTTTTATGAGTTCCGGCCCGACTGCGTGCAGTGCCACACGCGTGCGCGCGGAAAAATGTACCGAGAGCTTTCTCCTTCTCGCGTCACATGAGTGGAAAAGAGACACGAGATAGTCATAGTCGAGTTTATGGGCGATGGCTGACGAGGCAGTGAAAAAGTACTAAACCAAGAGGAGCAGATAAACGCTATGTTAAGCAGACCGTTTTACCAGCCATTTAATATAATCGGCTCTTGCGTTCGTTCTCTCGCGTGCGCCACTCAGATAACTTCGGATCAAGACTGTACAAGGTGGGACCGCAACTGGGGTCTTATTCCTTTGTTTGTCGCCGACGAACATCACGCTATTATATACCTACGTTGCGAATTTTTATTTTGCCAACCTTTACCCTCGTCGACCTTTCAGCGAAAGAATCTCTGAATTACGCGTGAAATTCTATGAGAATTCCAATTCTTCACCTATATAAAAGACTATATGAAAGTCTAAATGTGAAATACAACATTTGTTTCTCCCAATCAGTTGCTGCAATAGCACTGAATTATGATATCACAAAAAATTGTACGAATTTATCGTCTTGTGCGTAGGAATTAATTTCTATTGGATTGGAATAAAAGTTTGTAGCGCTATTTGTATCTCATTTGTATCATTTCACTTGTAAAAAATTTAGCAATTATACCATTCGATGGAGTAAAGTTTTAATTTTAAGAATCCGTTAATCGCCGATGATTTTTAATGGAATTATGAGCAATTAAAGTAAAAATGCTCATTTTATTTAATTCGTGATAATTTATTAACAAAAAATCTTGGAAATATTTTCAAAACATTATTTTGTAGATAAAGTTTGTTAGAAAGTAGAAAGTTTTTTTGGGTACGTGACAGGCCCAGTAAGAAGAAACTTACTTATTTGTTCAGCTCGTAGTTTTCTATGGAAAAGTTAACCAAACTCACAAAAACTGTCAAAAGACATAGCGATCTTTTGAAAGTAGAGGTTTTAAGCTTTGTGAAACCCCGTTAAAAAATTTAAATATCATTCATCTTTAACGAATAAGTTACAGCTGCTTGAATTTTCAAGTTCATAGAGAGCTACGAACTTTTGTTTCGCGACCTGTCACATTTCGTATTCGATAGAATAAATTTATTAAATATATACCGCGAGGACTTGTTTCTATTCATGAATTCACAGCTATAAATCTTGATGAAATCATAAAATTTATTTTTACCAGAAATAAATTGAGCGAATAAAAAATAATAATTTATTCCGATGCAAATAAATCACTGACGATTTTTTCATTTTTCATGCAATTTAATGCGCTTGCAATAGATCAAGGATCTTAATTTTACGTTAGTAGTCTCGTTGCGATCACAAGCAGAGAATCGGGCGATCGCACTTAACACTAATTGTACGATGCAATTACGAGACACGCAACTCGTTCGATTCGCGTTAATGGACCGCCCTACTTCCTCGAATATCACGTGTATACCGAT